CAGTGCTCATAAATAGAGTCTCTCCTCCTCTCATTACCCAACAGACCGAGAGAGGTTAGCCACGTGACCCAAAGCACCCGTGTAGCACTCAGTTTTAAGGATAAAACCAGATACACATCATATGTGAGTCCAGAAAGTCAAATCACACATATAGCTATAAATAAGGGTAATATCAAAAGACAATACTTAATATATAATAACGTACTTAGTATAAAGGATATAACCATAGAAAGCAAAAAACGGCAAGACAACTCCGATCTTCAGGTGTAGACTCCAACACCACAGGGACAACTGACTAGTTGATCACAAGCCTAACTTCTCCAAATTCTAGCAATCTAGTACCCATACAGGATTTTTTCAAAGTATTGAAAAGTAAAGCAAGTGTAAGTACATATCGTACTCAGCAATATAACAGTTCGTTCATGAGGCTCAAAAGGTTGACACTGCTTTACTGTGATTAGCTTTTAGTGACTCATGATTTTAGCAATTGAGTAGCAACAAAGTTATCACAAGCCCACGTAAACACATGATTAGGTAAACATGAATAATAAATAGCATAAACAATTAACCATTAATGATCATCTATTCTGTAAGAGTTCCAAGGCCGCTCGTGACCGTGAGCATGTCTGATATACTAGTTTTACACTCTGCAGAGATTGTACACTTTCACCATGAATCGTGATGTACCCTTTCGCCCGAGGCGGCCAACCTCTTGTCCCATTACCAAGGAAGATCGGCAGGGTTCGTCTAACAAGTTAGGGCCGCTAGGATTCACTTGGCAAGCAGATGTAGAGCCCCCTTCCAAATGGCACATTCCACGTGGGCTATACACATAAGGATAGAGGTTGCACTATACCCATCGTGTCAAGCCCCTTTTACGCCATAAAGGTAACCACTAACAAGCGAGAAAATGCCCTCATACTTGATTAAAACTAGAGCCATGTAGCACTCATGGCTCACTATAAGTCCCGGTTGACCACTTACAGATAAGTCCTTAGGAGAGAATCTAAAGCATCACAAAAACTATGCTCTAGCCCCCTTGTTCCTTGTTACTAAAAATCATCTTTAATGTTTATTGCATAATCCATTAATCAAGTTACAAGATCATTGTTTTAGTTGAGCACTAACATCATACTACCCAATGCAATAACCCATAGGTGACATGGTATAAGTACAAATGCTAGGAAATCCTTAGTGGTAGTCAAGGTAGACACATGCAGTATGAATTCAATGATTACTAGTGAATAGGTAACAAGGATAATCCCATGCTATACTTGCCTTAAACTCTGATCCTTCTTCTAGCCCAAATCTTTAAAGAATTGCTTCTGGTTTACCATGTATAGCTCACCGACTGGCACAAGATCATAAAGCACCACACAAACATCCACACAGACAATCATGCAAAGCAAACAAACCTATAATTTAAACATAGTACACCAATAGTATAGAATCAAGATGAAAAGTTTATAAAACGAATCTACATCTCACTAAGAACACACAGACGCGAGGATCACAAAAATCAGAGCTATAACGAAAAAGTTATGAATTAAACAAGATTTTCTTTAGTAAAATAATATATTAAAACTAATCTCAAATTTTAAAAGTTGAAATCATGTTTAATAGTAGTATGAATATATAGATTACATAATTATGAATCTAACACAACTTGAATGGGTCAAAGCGGAGTTAAAACGAAGTTTTTATAAGCAAAACAAAATTAGTGGCAAATCTATAAATAAAGAAAACGTATTTTGAATCTAACAGAGGGAATCTATGCTTTCTGAAAGAGAAAACATATTCAGAGAATACGCCACGGACTACGGGTTCTATTTTGAAAAGACAGAGGGTCTCTTTTGTAAAAATGACAGGCGAAGGGGTACGGGCCAATCTGGGCCGTTAGATCAGAGTTGGACGGCTTGGATTAGAAACAAGAGAAGGAGGGAGGCCGCCAGCTGGAACAGGAGGTCCGACGCGGTGGTTGCCATCGCCGACGGCGAGGGAGCTCGCCGGTGCACACGAAAACGGCCCTAGAGGCCACGGTTTGACTAGGGATTCATACGGGAAGAAAGAGGGGACGAAGGCGAACTCGGAGAGAGGATCAAGGGCTGTCGCGATGGTACAAAGGCGAGCTCGGGCTCGATTTGGCGGCTCGGGTTCAACGGGATGACTCCGATGAGGTCGTGCATGCGGTAAGAGACAAGACAGGGGCACGGGAGTTTAGTGACGGGTTCCTTACATTTGTGCGATGCTCGGGGAGGTCATCGCGGCAATGGAGAAGCAGCGGAGCGTCGAAGCGAGCTCGGCGGCGACGGCTTAGGGTTGCGGCGGCGTTGCGGGCTCGAGACGAGGTGATGCGGCTATGCTAGGGCTAGGAGGAGGCGGTGCGGGCACAGGAACGCTATTTATGGGGGCCTCAGCGTGGGACGTATGCCAATCGGGCGAAGATGGCGCGGAGGCAGGCTCCGGATCGAGGCAGGGTCCGGGTCGAGGACGAGAGCGAGGTAGGGGACGACGCCGACGTGTGGGCCCGGGCTATCAGCGAGCCAAGCGAAGGAGAGGAGGCGGGGCGCGTTCGCGCGAGGCTTCGGCCTGGCTGTGCCGGCCTGCCCAGTTGGGCCTGAGGAGAGAGGAAGAGGGATCTGGGCTTTGGCTGAGGTGTGGGCCACGCGAAAGGGCACGTTGGGCTTTGCGGGATTTGGTGCCGAGCTGGGCCTATAGGTTAGGAGAGGGGAGAAAGAGGAGCAGGCCGAGGGAGAGAGGGTTTGGGCCTTCGGGCCAAAACTCAAATGGAGTGAGTTTTCCTTTTTTTTTGTTTTTGTTTTATTTCAAAGCATTTTCAAATCCATCCATTTTAAAAACAGTTTGAATTCACTTTGAACTTTGGTCAAAACCAAACATTACAAAAACATAAATGCACCAGCATGTAAGCACAACAATGTTGTTACACCCTATGATGAATTTGAATTTAATGAAAAAATATTATTTCCCTATGTTTTATGAGTACAAAAATTCCAAATTAAATTATTTTAGCTCTATTTCTAAATAAGCAAATTTCCGGGAGTTACAAACCGATCTAACCGAGCGCTGGAGTAAAAGGAAGGCCGCTGCCTCCATTGACCATCGGGTAGCGCAGTGAAAGCCAGGAGGACAAAGGATGACGAGTATGACTACGGGATCCACTTCACTGACATTACTGCATCAACGCCTGCATGAAGCAGGCACGGGTCTTCGCTAATGGCCTCTTCATATGCTAAGGAAGGTATTACCCGAGATCTAAGTTCAATTTTATTTCAGATTAGGTATCCTGATTGGAACTAGAAGATCCGCTGTTAAGTCCTAATCCTAAGTTCATCTCTAACAGGGTCATCATGAGATCTATGTGCAATGAGAAATGTGTGCAGATTTGTATTGTCTGACGAGATGCTCATACCTTGGCTATGACAAGCTGTTCAATCACATTGCACTGTCGAAGCCGTCGGCCTTCAGGTGATTGCGGACCGCGATACTAACAACATGGCCATGTTCGCGTGCCCTTAAACCCAGCTTGATCTGTTTTTTTTTTCATCCGAAACAGTGTTTTTCTCTCACAAATTCCTCCAGCATTCTTCCAAACCATTCAAATTCCTCCAGAATTCCTCCACGCGAACAGACCCATATTGTCGTCGGCGCTGCGTTGTTGCGTACTTCCTCCGTCTAGAAAAAAAATGCAATTTTCACGTTTCGAGGAGTCAAACAATTTGAACTTTGACTAAATTTATATAAAAGTACTAATATTTATGATACAAAATAAGTATCGTTACATTAATTATAGAATATATATATTTTCATAATAGTTTTTTTAAGACATAAATACTAATATTATTTGCTATAAATTTGGTCAAACTTGACTTACTTTGACACACGAATCCCATAATTACATTTTTTTACGGACGGAGAGAGTACTTGCATCCGGCGTTGCGGATCCGTGGTGACAACCTTCTTACCTTCATGGCCGGTTGCTACGACGATCCTGATCGCTGCCTGTATTCCCTCCGTCTAAAAAATAGAGTTGCTGTGAGAATCGTGCTGGTCAAACTTTCTCAACTTTGATTAGGTTTATAGAAAATACGTGCAACATTTATATCTCCAAATAAGTTTATTATGAAAATATATTCAACGATCTATCTAATGATGCTAATTATATACCATAAATATTAATATTTTGTTAAATATATTTAGTTAAAGTTAAAAGTTGCTGACTTTTTTAAAGTGAAAATGACTTTTTTTTTTACGGTGGGAGTAGTGGGCAGAGAGTCGTAAATCAACAACGACGGCGCGCGCTCACCACAGCAGCAGGTTGTGTATGGGAATTGCCGGGATGAGATGCTACTGTACCTGAACATTGATGAATCTCGAATCGTAGCCTGGTGATGGATACGAACGCATCTCTTCGCCGGTCAAGCACGAGATGCGAGCAGGTGCATGCCTCCGAGTCAGATTTAAGATGTACCAGAAAAAAACTTCTCCTTGCACATTTAAGACATATTGTATAAGACATTCTATAATGTTTTGGCTTTCATGTACGCACTTGCGCTGAAATGTTCTTCTACATCATCGCCAAAAGTAGGCCCAAATCCAATGTCCCTAACAAACATAATCAAGTGCATGCAACCATATCTATCTTTTAGTGGTGCGAGTTGAACACAAATTTGGTGATGTACTGATTATTAATTATCATAATAGGTTATAAAAATACAAATATAAATATAATACTACGAATAACAAGACATAACAAAGTATTTTTCTGCTCATCAGGTTTCTCAGATCATACATGGGACACCACTAGATCCACAAGACTAGTACATCAAATCTTTCATTTACTTGTGTACTCTAGCTATAGTCATCTTTTGTGTTGTAGTATAGTTTCGCGGTAATCGATTAAGAATTCAAGAAATGACAATGACCTCCCACTCTCCCTGCAAGATGACGACGAGACTGCATCTAGTTCTCAAAGAGACTCATCAGACACGGCCTCCTCCGGTGGCGGAGGCGACGAACGACAGCAGCGGGTTACCAGCACCAGCACCCTGGTCAACAACCTCATCAAGAAACAGGTCCGCAGGCACGCGGCACGCGCCGTGCGCGCACATGACCGCTGCCCCGAGCGCGAGCACGAAAAAGATGAGCGAGCCCTCCGACGTGAGGAAGACGACGAACGCGGATGCGGCGACGAGCCCACCGAGCACCAGAAGGTCCGGCCGAACGCGGCGACGTGGGCCACGTCGGCTGGGCAGAGCACGTAGAGGAGGGACCAGGCGGCCAGCGCGCGGCCAGAACGGGTGCGCCAGGAGCGCCGCGGCGAGGGATAGGGCGACCACCGCGTCGTAGTTGACGCGGAAGTAGGCCAGGTTCTTGCGGAGCTGCGACGTGGCCTCAGCCAGGGAGTCTAGGCGGGAGAGCACTGAGCGGTCCGCCAGCTCAGACCAGGGACGCGCGCCGGAGAGAGCGCGACGGGTGCTGTCGAGGAGGCGCAAGAGGAACGCCCTGATCGCCGCTGGGTTTGTGTCGGTGGCATCCGCGGAGGAGAGGGCCGTGGGTATGGGCGTCGGCGCGGGGGTGGCAGATGGTGCTACGGCCGGGACCACCGTGGTGGGTATGGGATAGCCTAGCGGCAATCCCATAGCTGTAAGGAATTGTTTGTCTTAAACCGTGAAACTGCAGGGAAGCACAGACATTGGTAGTTCGGAATGGAGAGAGTGCTAGCAGAGCAATTGGCAGTTGCTGTATCGCAGTCGCAGGTGGTGGCCAGAGTTTAGTTCTCCTTGAGGAAGAAGAGGCTACTTGTACTGCTGTACATACGGGAGCGCACATGATTCCATTCCGAACATTGCACCTTGCACGAAACCGGCGGTGAACCTGCTACCTCACCTGCTGCGCTGTGTCTCTGCGTGCATGTGACCGACAAAGGCCGATGGTGCAGGCTGCCATGCCAACTGTTGCGACGACGAGAGCCGAGACGACCACCGGCGCGGTCGTCGGAATATTCGGCGGCCAGGGCAGGGCCCGGCTAGGTGTGTGATGACTGATGAGTGACTCGTGTGGCGTGACACCACCCTCGCTGGCGTCACCGCGGCGACGTCAACCCGGCAACCACTGCGTTCCGCCGTGCTTTTCCTACTCTGCCCCCACCACCGGCTCCTGGTGCCAGGCTGTGGATCAGGGGTAGCTTCGTCAGATCCGGGTAAAAGAAAAGCGTGAAGCGACCTCGCCTTACCTCGATCTCTTTACCTGACGGAGGGAGTACAAAAGAAAGACGACCCAGCCCACCGTCACTGAGACAAAGTAAACGCATTTTGGAAGACCGGCGGCGTCCCACTGGTCCTAGTCTTGGTTTAAGGTATAATTTTCCGGTACTACCTAGCATTACATTGGTCACCCTTCTTGCTTGTTTGTGTGTACTCCCTCTGTCCCATAATAAATGCACCTCTAGAGTTTAAAATTTGTCTCAAAATAAATACACATCTACATATAAGACAAACTAACTTCACTTGTGTTTTCTACTTTCTCTCTTTTTCGAGGTGCAATGATTACATCTTTATAAGATGTATATATATAATTTCTCACTAACCTTGATCTCTTCACCTGAACTCTTGAAGTGCACTTATTTTGGGATTGATGGAGTAGCTGTGTGTGTATGTATATATATATTCTTCTTGACTAAGCCCAAGTCAACTTATGAAAACTAAAATATGTACTATGAGTAGTTACATTTCTTGGACTAGCTTGTCACGGATCTCAATTTCCTCTGTCAAAAAGATGGTTACGGTGACCTGACCTCCAATCTGCTTACCCGATTCACATTGGATTGCAGTTAGCTTAACAGATGTGTAAAAGGATCAATTTTCATCACCTTAGGATTCAAACTCCCAGGCCTCCTATTTTGACAACATTAAATAATACTCACTCCATCATAAAAGAATATAATTCTAGATTCGAGACAAGTCAAACTTTCTTAATTTTGACCAAATTTATTAAAAATAGTATCAACATTTATGTCTGCAAATAGGTTTACTATGAAAAATATACTTTATAACTAGTATAATGATATTAATTTGGTATAATAAATGTTATTAGTTTTTTATACATTTGGTCAAAGTTTAAATTGTTTGACTTCTCGAAAAGTGATAATTGTATTTTTTTTAGGACGAAGGGAGTAGTTTGGAATATAATCCACAAATCATTTGCATCTGCCACTGTTAAAGTGTGTACTAGCTACTTAGGGCCAGTTTGGTAAAGCTCTAGCTTTTCCTAAAAGGGTCCCACTCCGGCTCTTCTTGTGGAGCATATTTTCTAGGGAAGCTGAAACCATTTTGAAAAACGTTTAGCAAAAACAACATCAGTAGTAGTCTTGTTATAATTTAGGTCAAATTTGTGAGTAATTGGGAGAAGCTATGTTTATACAGCTCTGGCTCCTTAGTAAAAATGTCTCCAGACTCCTTCCAAGGAGCCGTTTCTGGTATACCCACTTGGCAGGACTTGAACATGAACCAAGGCTAAAACGCTCTAAAAGCCCTACCAAACAGGACGTTAAAAGTTATATTATTTCTCCAACCTATTTTATACACAACAAACTTTCTTCCTTTCACAAATATATACTTGTTGGCTTACTAACTTCTTCTATCAACTGTTTCAAAAAGAACTTTTGTATAAATACCTACTCATTTCCAATCTTACGCCTTATTAATTCTTTTATTAACTAGTACTCCATCCGTCCTATAAAAAATATCATTCTCGCTTTCTGAGAAATCAAATATTTTTAATTTTGACCAAATATATATGAGAAAATATTAATGTTTTTGGTATATAATTAGTGTCATTAGATAAATCGTTCAATATCTTTTAATAATAAACTTATTTAGAGATATAAATGTTACTAATATATTTTTACGAACCTACTCAAACTTAAGAAAGTTTGATCAGCACAAATCTCATAGCAAACTCTTTTTATGGGTTGGTGGGAGCACAGGAGAGTGGGCGTGTGCTTTTAACATAAAAATGCACGCTGTATAGAAGATTAGCTAGTTGTACAATAGTCATTATATTTGTGTCGTCCTTAGTTATTGTGCCTAAAGCTAAAATAACATGATTGTGGAAGTAAAGAGTATGTGATAAAATGTGCTCTCTTTGTAACTTTTTGCGAAGCATGGTACAGGTATAGACAGCCATACATGTATGCACAATTATAGAGGGAGTATAAAAGGAGATGCTCTCTTTGTACTTAATTTAAGGGGTATTTTTACTTGAAAAAACTCAAATTTTTCAAAAAAAAGTTATCAACAAATTAGTCCAATCATAATAATGTTTTGTGTACAGAAGTTAAAAAATAAATGTTGTACTAAAAGTTCTTTGCAAGTGATGGTAACTTTGTAGCTTAAAAATACATTGCAAGAAAAATTAGTAATTAATATTCCCTCCGTTCTAGATTATAAATTGCTTTGATTTATTGCTATATATCTAGATATAACGTATGTCTACAGTCTATATACACATAGCAAACTCTATGTAACAAAAAAAAAAATCAAAACGACTTGTAATTGGAACGGAGGGAGTTACTTTTAGAGGCTTTTATTTATCTTGCCAATAGTCCAAGACTGTCTTATATATTATTATTAATTACCAGTATGTGGGTCGTTCCGTCTGCGCTTAAAAAAATTGCTTTCAGAGCTACAAGACAATTTCAAGCACGAAGTAAAAATAAAAGACTGCACAGCCTCTCAATGGTCAAGGTATGAGCATGGCACACGTTCAAGTATTCATAATAACGAAAAAAAAAATCAAGCCGGCCAGTGTCCAGCACTCCAGCTCCAGCATCACGGCCGCCGGCTTCATGGCCTTCTATTTAAGCCGCCAGCCGCCAGCAGCCAGAAGCAGGCCTTCAACGTCCTTCTCCATTGACTTTCCATCCTTCTCCTCTGGTCTCCCTCGTCTCTCTCACACATCAAGTCTCCAGGCAAAATATCCTGGGCGCCAGCGCGATGGATGCAACGCCAGGGAGCAAGAAGGCCCCGCCGGCCGCCGCCGCGGTCCCGTCAGCTGCGCAGCAGGCGGCGGAGCAGTCGCCGTCGTCGCCCGAGTCCGACGCCGCCGTCGCCGGCGTGAAGGCGAGCGGAGGTGGCGAGGACGACGACGAGCAGGTGGAGAGGTTCTACGCGCTGCTGGACAACATCCGCGCCATGAGGGGCATGGTCAGCAGCACCGGAGGCGCGGCAGCCGCGGGGAGGAAGCGGGCGCGGGAGGCCGTGCCGCCGTGGCGGCCGGCGTTCCGGATGGAGGACTTCGAGCTGGAGGAGGTCGACTCCGACTCCGTAGGGTGCGCCGGGGAGAAGAAGAAGAAGAAGAAAAGAGAGAGCAGTGCCAGTGTGAAGCGGCCGGCGGCGGACGAGGAGGAGGAGGAGGAGGAGGAGGAGGGCGAGGTCGTGGAGGCCAAAGGACATCCACGGCGGGGGCAGCCGCAGTCGCACAAGGCGCGTCGCGCGGGAGTGCTGGCCGTTGACACTTGACAGGAGTCAGGAATGAGAATACACAGTACATGGTCCACTTTGCACGTCTTTCACATTTATGATGATATATATGATGTCTAGTAATTAGGAGCATATGTCATGTGCTCTCTTTAACTCTGTCACATGTATAATTATGACTTTCTGATGTACTACTACTCACTACTAGCAGCCTGTTGCCTGTGTAGTTTGTATTTTTCATGTAAGGTAGTACAACTTAGAAGGAAAAAATATCAAAGTTGTATTACAATTTACAGGAAATAATGCTCTACTAGACATAAATATGACCGCCAATTCAAAAGAAAATTCATCGTAGCAGCCTGTTGCTACTTTGTTGGACGTGTAATCTCTGCTTACTCCATTCATTCCAAGTTGACGTCATTTTAGTTTTATCCCAAGTCATGTTTCATTAGATTCTTCATAAAATATATTTTGAAAGTGCATTTGTTTGAACTTATATAAACACTTGATCAAAGAAGGGGAGGTATGCCAAAGAAAATTCCAAAATGAACTGTAATTTAATTAGAACACATGGAGTAATTATTTGCTCGCCACCGCATACTAGGCCATTTCCATGAGTCCGATCTACATTCTATACATCCGGATTGGAATTTTTTTGTTTGGACCCTATGCATCCGGATTGGAGTCCTAGACTCAGCACTGGATGGTCTCCTATATTTATTATAGAAATCAACACCATTACTCTTACACTACTAGAGAACAGACTTTAGAACGATGTCCCAATTTAGCATTAGCCTCGATATTTTTTGCCGCCGGGACTAAATGACCCTTTAGTCCCGGTTCGTAATACCAACCGGGACTAAAGGTCCATATCCAACGGTCATCCGCGTGGCAGGGATCTTTAGTCCCGGCTGGTACTAAAGGCAGTTGGTAATACCAGCCGGGACTAAAGGTTTTAGTCCCGGTTTGGGTGATACCCCGGGAATAAATATTAATCTTTAGTCCCGATTTGTCCACCTAACCGGGACTAATTATGCCGGCCTATACACCGGCTCATTTCTTCCTCTCCGAGCCCGAGCCATTCCATTTAAACTCACGGCCTCTGTTCTTCAGCTTGCTGTTGTTCTTGCTCTCTCCCCTTTCATTGGTGTTGCTCTTCGATTTTGGAGGTAACAAATTTAATCCTCTTATGTTTTATCAGTAGCTTATCTTATTTTGCGATATAGATGCATGTGTAACTTTATATGTTGGACTTTATTATGATTTTAGATGTCATTTTTAGCTCAAAATCACATGATGATTTGCATATATGTTTGGATAAACAAAAGTTAAATTAGTTCATCAAAATCACGCCTCGCTCGTCCTCGCTGGAGCACGCGCCATCCTCGTCCCCGGCAGCTTACGTGATCTTAGAATTAATTTTTTCATGAATTGAAAAACTTAGAAAATAGTTAGAAAATTGTAGAAAATCCGTACTAGTTGAACTTACGGACCGTGATCATCTCGGGGAGCATTTTCTCTGCTGAGCGGTAACGGACGTCAAGGAGGAGCTTTGATTCTACGAGGGAGAGCGGCAACGGTCATGGTAGACCGTGTTCCCTTCCTCGTAGAATCGGAGCTCTTTCTTGGCCAAGTACGGTGCCATCCGGTGGAGAAATGCTCGTCGAGATGATCACGTAAGCAAGGTCAACTAGTACGGATGGTTATTTATTGAAACATGTTTTTGAGCTATGTGATTTCTATGTCATTTTTAGCTCAAAATCACATGATGATTTACAATAGTAAAATCACTTGATAGTTTGGTATTTTACTATTATACATAGTACATATTTCATGGTTTAGTTAGATAAATAAATAATTTTAGTTTTGCTTAAATATATTATTTTAGAAAATGTGAAATTTACAGTAGTTTGTAAAAATAAGTATAGAAAGTATATGACAACTGGTACCGGATCCTCGGCCTCTCGTTCGGTTGCGAAACGACTGAGGCCAGAACTCCCTCTCATTATCTGCGGCAAGTGTAAGCAGAAGATTATGATGGAGTACCGAGTCAAGAGACAGGGATCCAACAAGGGTCGTGTTTTCTACAAGTGCCCGGATCGCGATGTGAGTTTCTTACGCATTTGATTATTATGGCTAATTGACCTGCTTTTCTTGAATATTTTTTACTAAATATTTTTTGGCTTTAATTTCAGTGGAAGGGCAATGGATGCGATGGTTGGTACTGGGAGGAAGATTATGCTACATATGTGCGTAATTCTACTCTGGCGATGAGGCGATGAGCCAAAGAGGAGAAGCTTATTGATATTCAACGTAAGAATGATTTGTCTGCTTTAGTTTGCGTCATTTATCACGAAATAATTATGGTACTGAAGTGCATTGTAGTTTTAGTTTGTTTAGTGATAGTTGGGATTGCTTACGTTGTAGCCAGGCTTAGTTAATTAATCAACCGTGTGTGTGTCATTTATGTTGTGTAATAAAATACTTAATTATGTTCAAGGTTTTCATAATTTGTCGTGTAATTCAGATTATATCACGCCATTGGATATACAATGCCGATCGCCGCTCCCAAGACTTTATTGAGGGCTTGCACTATTTCTTAGGTGTGGCCGAGGCAAATAAGCGGGATGGTTTCATGTGCTGTCCATGTGCCCTATGTAAGAATTTAAAGGAATATTCAAGCTCAATGTGTCGGATACCAGAAAATGGGGTACCCCAAGCAAAGATCGAGAAACTGCTTAGACCCTAAAAACAGAACCAACGGAATAAACAAACGAGGTCTCGGCCGAAATCTCCGATTCGCCCGAGACCCCGTCGCCGAGCCCCAGCGGAAGCAAACGGTTCTCCGACTCGCCCGAGACCGCCTCGCCGAGGCCCCCGCGTCGAGGCCCCCTCGTCGAGGCCCCCTCGTCCGGGGCCTCGAAAGAAGTGTCGATTCTCCGATTCGCGTGAGGCCGGCTCGGCACCAACCCCGTGACCGCCTTTTTGACCAAACTGCTCTGACCGAACGTCACATCTAGGCGCCCAACCACTCCGACAGACGCACGATGGCACAGAACGGCGAAGTGACCGGCTACACGCCGGTCGCGTCAACCCCCTGCCATCTGAGACGGCACAGAGCAGGGGTTACCGACCACTGTGCTGCCTAACTCCTGCACCAAGGACATCGCAACGTGGGGAGTCAGAACGGGTTCCTGTAGCCTCGGAATCAATGGACCGACCACTCCGTCTAGCCCGAGCCCCCCCCCGACAAGGCCAAGGCCTCGGATTCACTGATCTTACTACGCCTCGCCCGTCTGCCTCGCCCGAGACCCCCTCGGAAGGGCCTCGGACGAATCGGACGCGCTCCGCCTCGCCCGAGGCCGGGCTCGTTCCACAACCTCGTTGCCTCCGCCTCAAAAGTCTCTCTGGCAGGCTGTCACATCCGATTAATACGCTCGGCCGCACCCACTACGTAAGCCACGATCGGCAGTGCGCTGCAACAGGAGCGACGGGACAACGGCCTCGGCACGGCAGGCCTCGGCACGGTAGGCCTCGGCACAACAGGCCTCGGCACGACAGGCCTCGGCACGACCGGCTACGAAGGCCACCGAGCCTCTGCAATCCACCAAGTCAATAAATGCGCATCATGTTACTTGCAGTGAAGACCATACCGATTGGACATCTACGGGAACTCCCACGACAACATCATGCTGCTCCAGGAGTAAATACGTCATCGAATAGTCCTTGCTCCACGTGTAGCTCTCTTATGTACTCCTGGTTTCCTCCCTGCGGCTATAAAAGAAGGCAGCTAGGACCGTTTCTAGGACGACGGATAGAATCACAGATACTCGCACGAACAACACGCCTCATTCTGTAATTTGATATCACCTCCCCTCACAGAGATCTGGGACGAACTCCCTCCCTCGCCTAGCTTGTAACCCCCTACTATGAGTACCCCGGTGCAAGGAATACAAGAACACCTTCTCAGACTGGACGTAGGGCATCCATTGCCTGAACCAGTATAAACCTTGTGTCTCTTTGCATCTCCATCTAGAATTGGGAGCACGCAGCATAAATTCACTAGTCGGTTAAGGACCCCCGGTTCCGAAACTCCGACACAATGAGTCTTCATTCACATTTGCTTAAGTCAGGTTTCATGTCAAACTATATATGTTGGACTAAGCATGGAGAAAGCGGGGTCATGATGGAAGAAGGTGAAGGAGAAGATTTAGACATTGATGACATTATTGCTCAGTATGGTGCCTTTGATGATACTACAATGGGGGGAGATGAAGAAGAGGTAGCGGTAGAAGATGATCTCGGTGATGCTCTTGGCGATGCCATTCGTGATGCACAACAAGAATGGGAAAGTGAAAAAGAGAAAGTTAAGTTCGAGCGCATGCTTGAGGATCATAGGAAGTTGCTATACCCGACGGCCGAAGAGGGGCAAAAAAGCTAGGTACAACACTAGAATTGCTACAGTGGAAGACAAAGAATGGTGTATCCGATAAGGCATTTGGGAATTTATTGAACCTCATAAAGAAGATGCTTTCGAAGCCAAATAAATTGCCCACCACTACGTATGAAGCAAAAAAGGTTGTCTGCCCTTTGGGATTAAAAATCTAGAAGATACATGCATGTCATAATGACTGCATCCTCTACCATGGCAATGAATACGAGAATTTAGATGAATGCCCGATATGTAAAGCATCGTGGTATAAGATCAGGCGCAATGATCCTGGTGACGTCGAGGGTGAATAATGTCCTAGAAAGAAAATCCCTGCCAAGGTTATGTGGTATGCTCCTATAATACCATGCTTAAAACGTTTGTTCAGAAATAAAGACCATGCAAAGTTGTTGCGGTGGTATAAAGAAGACCATAAGGTAGACAATATGCTGAGACACCCAGCTGATGGGTCCCAGTGGAGAGCGATAGATAGGGAATTTCCAGAATTTGCAAATGAGGCTAGAAACTTAAGGTTCGCCTTAAGTACAGATGGTATGAATCCTTTTGGAGAGCAGAGCACTAGTCATAGCACTTGGCCAGTTACTCTATGTAT